CCAAAACTTTTCCACAGTTCTCAGAAAGCAGTATGCTCAGGATGCAAGTCACCATGCATGCCAATCTGCTGGCCACCATCGCACTGGCACTAGATGACAGATTGCTTGCAAGTCCTGTGTTCACTAGCACTTTTTTCTGTGTGGAAAGTATAAAATGTTGAGTTTTTATTTATGAATTTCATGTTCCTATTTGCATTTTTTGTGGTTTGTTTGCACATTGTTATTGCATTTGTGTCTTCGTATTCTAAATTTTGTGTGTCAACATCAAGTTTGGAATTGTAACTTTTTTCACACTATTTTTTGTGTTTTGGATGGTTCACAATGTTTTAACTGCTTCTGCGCCACCCTATAGCATAAATACTGCTACAGGGTGGCATGGGTGCGCAAAATCACATCTATATACGTGATTCGCACTCCCGTGGTGATCAAGGGCTGGGGGCGTGCTCACCCGCTGACCTGCAGGTGCGTTGATTCAGTGCCCAAGGGATCAATCATCCAATTTAGGCCAGTGTTGTTTGGCCTGAATTGGATGATCGATCCCTGCCCTATCACAGATCTTCTTGTACCTGTGTTTAAACTTACACAGGCCCAGGAAATGATGAAATCTTCTCTCTCTGGGCACATCCCATCCCAGAGAGAGAGAAGAAAGTAGACACATGAGTAAAACAGCACACTTACACAGTTAGAAAACTTTTTAGGACACATTTAACCCCCTGATCACCCCCCCAGTTAACCCCTTCACATTAGTATAGTGTCCCCAAAAATGCAGCATTAGTGGGATTAACCCCCGGCACCTGCCAACACCTGCATTTAGCCCCTACACTCACATCCCCTCCCCACCTCTCCCCCAGCAAGTGCCATGTCAGTAGATCACTGTCACTTGATATATTGCCCACAAAACCTCAGTGTTGGCAGAATCAGGCCTGATCTCTGTTAGCACTTGCAGGTAAATTTTTTTTTGTAGCGGTTCAAGCAGTCCCTGACAGCCAGGTGCTCTTTTTTCCCGTGAGTCACACTAGGTACCTATAAATTTAGTGGCCAAAATGTCCAATGAAAGGTACTCTAGTGAAGAATGGGGTAATGAATAAGCGCTGTCTTTAGCGTCAAACGCGTTAACCTGCCAGTCCCCCACTGTATTTCCACTATCTGTAATGGTTTTATCCTGATTCAATAAAGTGGATTGTTTGGAGTGCAGCCAATCGGACCTCCTTTGTTCTCTACTCTAGTGACGAGGCCTACAGGATTCTGAGCATGTCAGATGAGAGCGAAGGGGAAGACTCACTGACACAATCAGCCTCAAAATACAAACCTGTAGACAGCAGTGACACTCTGACAGATAGCTCAGACAATGGAGAAGAGGTCCCTGCTAAGGTCAGGTGTACCCGACCTTGTTCCCAGGTTGTTGAGATGTTACAATTGCATGATGATTCTCATATGCAGCAGAGTTCCACTCTACTGCTCTACCTTTTGGTGAACTGGTGATTACCAGCGGCCTAGTACGTCCTGGTCTTATACATACCAGCACTGCAGTATCACTTGGTGACGTGGCGAGTCCCATAAGTGCAGTACAAGCTGGTGCGGTGGTGAGCACAAGTAGTGTCCCTCAGCCACCAAGAATTTGCACACAGGCCCCTAGTGCCCATAGTGTCCTTCCAGATGTGCTTGCAAATCCTGATTGGCAGCCCACAAATTCTGCAGCACCTGTACTTACCCATTACTTGCCCAACCTGGAATTCAGGTGGAAACAGCAAATTTAACTACTCCCCTTTATTTTTTGGAGCTGTTTTTCACAGAAGATATGTATGCATTGATTCTGGATCAAAGCAATTTATATGCAGAACAATTTATTGCCGCCAACCCAAATTCAAACCTTGTCAGACCATGTGCATGGAAACCTATTATGGTTTCCAAATTTAAAGTTTTTCTGGGCCTAACCCTCAATATGGGCATTACTAAAAAAAAATTAATGTATTGGTCCACAGACCTGATTCATCATATGACCGCGTTCTCTGTTGCCATGGCCAGGCATAGATATGAGAATATAATGCTATTTATGCGTTTCAATGACAATTCTCTCTGTCATCCTCGGGGTGACCCTGAATTTGACCGGCTCCACAAAATTCAGCCCCTCGTTAATCAACTTACCAAAAATTTGCAGATGTCTATACTCCCCAGCAAAACATCTGTGTTGATGAGTCCCTCATTAATTTTTCTGGCCACCCTGCATTCAAACAATTTCTCGCCAGCAAGCATGCCAGATATGGAGTCAAGATGTATAAGACTTGTGAAAGGGCAACAGGCTATACATATAAGTTTTGTATTTACGAGGGAAAAGATAGTTACATGGAGCCCCCAGACTACATGGGGCGCAGTGGCAAGATAGATTGGGACTTGGTGTCATCCTTTTTCCATATGGGGTACCACTTATACGTGGACTATTTAGACATTTGTACAATGTTGGAATTGGTGCATATGGCACCTAATCGCCAGGGCTTTCCCCCAATGGCTTATAAATACCTGTCTTAGAAAGGGGAAAAAAACTGCTTGAGAAATGAGGAATTGCTCACAATGAACTGGAAGGACAAACGGAATGTTTCCTTCCTGTCTTCCATTCACGCAGACACGACCATCCAAATTGCCACAGCAGCTGGTGTTGTTGAGAAGCCTCTCTGTGTCCATGACTATAACCTTATCATGGGAGGGGTAGACTTCAAGGACCAGATCATGAAGCCGTACTTAGTTTCCTGAAAAGCCAGACGCTGGTACCAAAAAGTATCTGTTTATTTATTTCAATTGGCTCTATATAACGCTTTTGTGCTTAACAAAGCAACTGGATATAGTGGATCCTTCCTAAAATTCCAGGCCCTTTTCTATCCAGAAGGTGCTATGGCCCAAATCCCCAACCCAGATGCAGTTAGTCGGCTGCATGAGAGGCATTTTCCCAATGCCATTCCTGGTACCCCAACCCAAAGGACACCCCCAAAATGGGGCACTATTCCTCCCACACTAACACCAATGATGGGGCACTATTCCTCCCACTGACACCAACGATGGGGTACTGTTACTTCCACACTGACACCAATGATGGGGCACTATTCCTCCCACACTGGCACTAATGATGGGACACTATTCCTTCCACTGACACCAACGATGGGGTACTATTACTTCCACACAGACATCAATGATGGGGCACTATTCCTCCCTCACTGGCACTAAAGATGGGGCACTATTCCTCCCACTGACACCAATGATGGGGCACTATTCCTCCCTCACTGGCACTAAAGATGGGGCACTATTCCTCCCACTGACACCAATGATAGGGCACTATTCATCCCACTGACACCAATGATGGGGCACTCATCATTAGTGTCAGCGTGGGAGGAATAGTGCCCCATCATTGGTATCAGTGGGAGGAATAGTGTCCCATCATTGGTATTAGTGGGAGGAATAGTGCCCCAATCAGTAGTGTCAGTGGGAGGAATAGTGCCCCTTTAGTGGTGTCAGTGGGAGGAATAGTGCTCCATCATTGGTATCAGTGGAAGGAATAGTGGTCCATCATTGGTGTCAGTGGGAGGAATAGTGCCCCGTCATTAGTGTCAGTGTGGGAGAAACCGTGCCCCATCATTGATGTCAGTGGGGGGGAAATAGTGCCCCATCATTGATGTCAGTGGGGGGGGAATAGTGCCCAATCGCTGGTGTCAGTGGGGGGAGGAATAGTGCCCCATCGCTGGTGTCAGTGGGGGGGGAGGAATAGTGCCCCATTGTTGGTGTCAGTGGGGGGAGGAATAGTGCCTAATCGTTTGTGTCACGGGGGGAGGGATATAGTGCCCCATCATTTGTGCCAGTGGGAGGAATAGTGCCTTATCATTGGTATCAGTGACACCAATGATGGGGCACTATTCCTCCCACTGACACCAATGATCCCTTGCTGACCCCTGCTCCAGCCTGGGCTCACTCCCTCCCTCTTCCATCCACAGCCAGCATACCTGGCTGCAGCAGCACCATCTGCTTGGTACAGACACTTACCGGTCAGCTGTCTTCCTTCTCCGGCTGCTCTTCTCCTCTTCACTTGCTCCAGCTGCTCCCTCACTCGATCTTTTTTGATCTTCACGCTGCCACTCGGCTCCTCCTCTCCAAGCTCTGCCTTCACGTTGGTGATTGGCCGCCTGTGTGCCTTTCCTGAGCTACAGTTCAATCACCGGAGAGGAGGCGGAGCTTGCAGATGGAGGGACAAGCTGCTGTAGGCTGTTGAGTGATCCTGGGGGTTTGGCCAGATGACAGGGGCGACATGTCATCCCGCCCACACATCTCGATCCAGGGAAAAGAAGACACCGGACCCAGTGACCGGACAACCTCTCTACCCCTCCTCCAGCAGCGCCTTGTGGACCGGATCGACGTGGGACTGGGACACGGAGTTGCGGACCCAGGTAAGACACAGCAGCCCGCCCCTGAAGTTCCCTTCTGTGGGAAAGGGGGGGCGGCAGTACCACTGCGCAGCCCCCCTAAAAGGTGCCGCCCTAGGCAAACGCATCATTTGCCTTGCGGCAAATACGCCCCTGGGTACAGCACAGTTCAGGGCACATATTTGCACAGGGTCTCGAAAGATGTTAGTCAGGAAATTGGCTATCACATTTTGAAACCCTAATATCTGCTTGTTACAGTTAAAAAAATAGTAACGAAAACATAAAAAGTAAAAGTACAGAAAAAAAAAATTGTAAAAAACAAAAATATTTTTTTTTTTGTTGTTATCGAGTTACTGTCATACTGTTATGATTTTACTGTTACTGTTTTATTGTTACTGTTTTATTGTTAACCATTGCTGTTTTCTTTGCAGGAAATGCCATTCAGCTGCAGCACTGATCTGTTTATTCTGACAGCAACAAGGTCTTGCTCTCAGAATATAAATAAGTAGGTGTGTGCAGTGCTGTAGGACAAGAATTTTCCATCCACAGTTATAAAAGAGCATATATGCCCAAGCATGGGATTTCTTCTCTTTTTTTCATTCAGCCCACAGGCTGCATAAAAAAAAGAACGTAGCATATTCACCCAACAAGGACCAGCGACCTTCTGGTAAATCACTGGATTTGAGTGGTTATACCAGGATGATGCCTGCAGCTGTAGGCATCATCCTGGTATCATTTTTTTCAGCCGGCTATCGACTATCATGTAAAAGCAATCCTAGTGGCTAATTAGCTGCAGGATTTCTTTTACAAGCAGCGGGAGAAGATGCCCCCCTCCCCTGCTGCCTTCCACGGCCTTCTCAGGCAGTGCCATCGGGGGGAACCTGAGAATGCAGCCAATCTTTCTGCCAGCTGACCATGGAGCTGACTGGAGACTGAAATGGTGCCAATCATCTCTATAGTCTAAGAAATTGGAAGCTACGAACATTTCATCACTTCAGTTTCAGAGGATATAAACAGTGCCATTTGTAAATTGGGAAAGCATCTGATCACACCAATCTTGGTGAGATTAGATGATGTAAGGGTAGAGGAGATAGCTAGAGTCTGATAGACCTCAGATTTCTCAAAAAAGAATACCTGTCAATGCCTACTGCAGTCACATGGGATATTTACATTCCCTGTGACAGCAAAAAAAAAGAAAAAAGCACCCCCGCCCACGTGCACACCTGTGTGCCTGAGCCTTGACCCCGTGCGGTTGCACCATGCATGTGAGGGATCGCCGTGAACGTCGGATCAAGGGCAGTAATTGTAGCATTAGACCTGTTTTACAGCTTTTTTAAACAATGCAGAGGATTAGCCCCTTAGGTTCCACATAATATGTCAATCCTGAAGTTGCGGTGATCTGGAGAGATCCAACTTCATTGGGTTATGCCCCACAAGCATTGAACACACTCTAGAAATAGATGGTCATCGGCTAAGGGTGAGTTTTAGTCCATGTGGGGCACTATTTTTGAGCACTGTGGATCACTTTGAACCAGCTGATTAAAATAATCACTTCAACCAAGTTCGAGCACAAGCACGGGGACCTGTTTCACCATTTGGGACTTTTACTATAGCAATTAATAGCAATGTGCGGTCCGCCTAGAACTTTATTATTCATGTTTGTGTTAGTATTGCACAATTTTTTTAGGACTGCTGCATTAGTTCAAATTTTTGTTTTTTTTAAATTAAATATTGCACATCCATAAGCATATGAGCACCATTTTAATCAATTTATATCCTGGTGCAGCTTTAGAACTGCTTGTGTCATCTACGTGCTTACTTGACAATAAGTCAGCAATGTGATGATGTTAATTCATTGTCCAGTGAGTTGGTGGGATGCTTTGGTAAAAAATAGTTCATGTATATGTATTAAAAAATGTGTATTTAGCTGTTTGACTGCAGATCCTCTTTTATTTTTCTCTTTGGTAGAGCAAAAAGTAACATGCCATCACATGTCCCAAAAATAAAGGAATCATTCCCCATTTCGGGATAGTGGGTGGAGATATGCAATTAATTCCTTTACCACCCTTTCTTAACTGTACACCCAGGACTGCTGGTGTATAGCCCACATATAGTCTAGAAATTATAGAGCCATTAATTCCAAACTATATCCAGCTGTTTCTGCCTTGTTGTCCATTATCAATGTGTATGGAAACAATAGCTTCTAGGGACTAGGACTTGGGGACCACTGAGTAAATATAACACATGTAAATACGTGCTGTTCTAAGAAGGCCCCTCTGAGCTAGGAACTGGTTCAGTGGAGGGTTTTTGGTTATTTTTGCCAACCTCACAATAACTTGTCAGGTTATACATTCTCCTCCCCAAGAGTTACTTACATAGTCTTCATACTCTGAAACAGATGTATGAAGTTAGATTGTAGGCACCATAAGCAGGGCCCTCATTTTCCTTCTGTATTGAACTGTATTGTAATTTTACTGTCCCCCTTTATATTGTAAAGTGCTGCACAAACTGTTGGCGCTATATAAATCCTGTATAATAATAATCAGTGACTCTATACTAATAGGCTGTATTTGTGTTATAGACCAGCAGTTCTAGATGCACAGTTAGCAAGAGGAATACAGAAATTATCTGTCTGGCTCTACCCACTATTCCCTTATTATTGGCTGTTATTTTTAAAACTCACTGGTTTGCTTGGCATCTTACAAGTCACATCCCTGTCAATCATGTATTCTACAATGAGAACTGGGGAGCACTCTCTCTGAGCTTCTCCTTACGGCTGCATACAGTATGTGTGGAATTTCAACTACAGGATTATCACTGTGCAGGTCCTGATGTCTGTAAAGAGAAAGAATGCAGAAAGAAAAGAATTGGCAGCATAGAAATGGGGAGCAGAGAAAGAATGTTCATCACAGGTGGCTCAACTCTTTTTCTGGCTACATTTTTATAATAATATTTTTTACTATGACCAGTGGTGTATTTATGTTTTGTGCTACCCTAGGCAACACAAAAATCGCCCCCCCCCCCCCAGTGCACCACCACTGTCTCTAGTGCACCAACGTTTGCTGGGCGGAACTTAGTGGTCGGCCACATCTTTTTGTGAAGGTGTCAGTTAGTGGTATGAGCGGAGAGAAGGTGTCGTTAGTGGTATGAGCGGAGAGAAGGTGTCAGTTAGTGGTATGAGCGGCGAGAAGGTGTCAGTTAGTGGTATGAGCAGAGAGAAGGTGTCAGTCAGTGGTATGAGTGGCAAGAAGGTGTCGTTAGTGGTATGAGTGGCGAGAAGGTGTCAGTTAGTGGTATGAGCGGCAAGAAGGTGTCAGTTAGTGGTATGTGTAACCAGCGTCCACACAGTGACGGACGCAGCCTCCATTTTGTTAAGAGTATCCATGTTATTCCCTCATTCTTCCCCCCTCCCTCTTTGAGAGGCACAGTGACATATGGCAGCGTGTGTGTGTCACAGGCCAGAGCCAGCAGGGGGGCTATGAGCTATAGGACCCCCAAGGGAGTCGGGGCCTCGCTGTTCAAAGAACCTGTAAAATGTAACACCTCATATAAGATATAAGCTTTCCCAAGAGTTCAAAGAACATTCCAAGGAAACACGACCAGATAACCTTTGTTAAAATCCATTTTTTTTCCCCAATGTCTCATATCTTGGAATATGAGAGACTTACATAAAAACCGAACATATCGTCGGATTGGCCACGAGAAGACGAACAGTTGGGTAGGTCACTCGCCTTGTCTTGAATACATAGGAAAGCCAAAAAGTAGATCTCGTGAACCATTCAGTGTATAACTTCATAATTCATATCTAATCAATCCTCAGACGTGTCTGCATAATAACCTACCCGCGGGTGGAATGTCACTTGTGCAGATGGAAAGTTATGGGCCAAAATATGAGTTAGGAGAGATTTTGGCTCTAGTTGAGGTATCCACCCAGACCTCCACGCCCTAAACGGGGGTATTGGTCCTTGACTTCAGAGACACCCCCTGCTGGGGAACTACAAAATGGGCTGTCAGGCCTAAGAGAGTTGAGTTGAAGACGTCTCACATTTTATCAAATTATCAGGCCATACACTATTCACATTTTGGCTGGTTCCTCGGGAAATTGGTACGTGGGTGGTGCTATCATAACCCTCCCACCCAACATATTTCAATCAAAAAGATAAAAGGATTGAGATAGAAAATTGTCAGCCATACTGCTGCTGCATCCAATCAGAGGCAGATGCTGTTCATATACCAGCTGTCAAAATACAAAATCATCTAGAGATTCATCCATTTGCGCTGTATAGTATGTATAGTATGGACTTAGAAATTTGTTAGATGTTTTTATTTAGCCTGTGCATAGCAAACTTTTCTGTTCCAATGAAAATAATGGAGACAACAGTGGAAATACGACAAATAGACTCACCAAATATCTCCTAAAGAACACAGATAGCAATACAAACCTGACAGAGGATCTAACTCTTCCCTATTGTATCTCCCACAAAAATTTAAATTCTCTTTACTGCTGCCAAAATGGCTGAACAATTGAGAACAAAACTTACCTCTTGCCTGTTTTCATACTCTAATACTCTAATGCTGTGCTAACATCAAATAAACTGGGTGCTGGACTGATTAGGAGAACATTGTAAGGGATCTCATTAAAGTGGAACTTTAACCATAAAAACTAATAAATAATATTATTTAGCAAGGAACATACATTCCACATTAATAATTATGCTTTCTAAATTAGTTTGTGCTGTAAATGGCCTCCAGCATTGTTTCTCTTTCTCCTTGATGGAGGTTGCCATTTTATTGAAGCTCAGAGCTCCTAAGCAGCAGTAAATCTTTAGGCTGTCAGCCAGGGGCAGACTGACAACTCATGGGGCCCCCGGGCAATAGGGGATCATGGAGCCACTGTGTCCAAGCTCATACCCAAAAAAGCCTATGAAAAAGCCAATGAAAGGTACCAGGGGCATGTCATGGGGCCCCCTACTGACCCTGGGCCCTTGAGCAGTGCCCGTGTACTCGAATGGTCAGTCCGCCCCTGCTGTCAGCAGATCAGCCTTTACTTTTTTGGCACATTGCCGAAAAATAGTGCACAACTGAGCATGTTCAGAGCAGGGTGAGACCGTTTATTAGTGGATTTTAAACAGTATAGACAATCATTTTTAATGTTTTACATACCTATACCTGCAAAGGGGGCCAGCCTGAAGTGATCTTGCAGGACTTAATTCTCTGACTAAAGTTCCATTTTAATTTGCTTTGCCAAGGGTCACGCTTAGCTAATCTAAAAGAATGTGTCCATTTGGCGAATTTCCTAACACTTTATATACAGTATATTAAAAGGATATCTTTGAAATATTTTAAATTTGATTTTACAAATTTGATTATACAGGTGAAACTCAAAAAATTAGAATATCGTGCAAAAGTTTATTTATTTATTTCAGTAATGCAACTTAAAAGGTGAAACTAATATATGAAATAGACTCATTACATGCAAAGCAAGATAGTTCAAGTCGTGATTTGTCATAATTCTGATGATTATGGCTTCCAGCTCATGAAAACCCCAAATCCACAAGCTCAGAAAATTAGAATATTGTGAAAAGGTGCAATATTCTAGGCTCAAAGTGTCCCACTCTAATCAGCTAATTAACCCATAACACCTGCAAAGGGTTCCTGAGCCTTTAAATGGTACCTCAGTCTGGTTCAGTAGGAATCACAATCATGGGAAAGACTGCTGACATGACAGTTGTGCAGAAAAGCATCATTGACACCCTGAGCAGAGGGAGCCATCGGCTGTGTCTAAGCCAATGAGGAGGGGGAAAGTAGAGAGAACTTCTGCTCTTTTGCACATAGCTGGATCAAGATGAGGCTCAGGTAAGATTAAGGGGGGCTTGGGGGGGGGGAGAGAGAGAGGGCTTCATTCTGAAGGTTTTTTACCTAATGCATTAAGGAAAAAAAAAAGCTTCAGACTTTAGAACCACTTTAAAATTAAAGTTCTGTAAA